GATGAATTCATCTAAGGAGATTTGGGATAGTGCGACAGAGACATTCTCAGAAATTAAATGTTGCAAGGGCCTACAAATTAAAGAGTGATGTGAAGAATTTAAGACAGAGGGAGAAGAGTGTGGTTGTCTATTATTCGATGTTGAAGTCACTATGGCAGGAGTTGGATGTTATGGAAACATTTGCATGGGAAAGCACCAAAGATGCAAAATTTTTAAGGAAATTTGTGGAAAGAAACGAGGTGTTTGAATTCCTTACAGGACTCAATCCTGAATTTGATATTACAAGGCAGAATATCTTGGCCAAGGATGATGTGTCACTTGCACAGGCATACTCTATGGTGAGAAGTGAAGAGTGCAGGTGACAGGTACAGCTACAGACCCCACCTCCTCCAGAACATTTTGCACATGCTGGAATAAAACCAAAGGGGTTGAATGAGAAAAAGGAAGTGATATGTGAATACTGCAAGAAGCTGAAACATACTAAGGATTCTTGTTGGAAGCTTCATCCAGATCTTCTTCCTGAGAGGTTCCGGAACAACAACAACTCTAAGAAGGGTGATCAGTCTGGAAAACCCAAGAATGCAAATGTTGCCACAGTGTCTGAATGTGAAGAAAAATTTGCTATGGAACAGTTGGCAGTAGTGAAGGCAGAATTTGAGATATGGGAAATTGATAAATCACTTGGAGTTTACTGTTGCATCTTCCTCCTCAAGCACCACCTCTACATTTGCTTTTGCCCATTCAGGTATTCATGCTTCTACAAATCATGCTACGGTCTCAAGTAATCGTAGAATTCCTTGGATTACAGATTCTAGTGCATCAAACCATATGACTAGCCTACCCAACCTCTTTTGCTCATACTAGCTCCTCTCGGGTAGAGAGAAGATTTCTCTTGCCGATGAGTCTCTTGCTCTGATATCTGGCAAGGGGAATATTAAAGCCTTTGATTCACTTGTTTTATCCTATGCCCTTCATGTTCCCAAACTTAGCACTAACCTTTTATCTATTAGTAGTTTAGYCAAATCATTGAACTACAGCACAACTTTCTTTCCTACTTATTGTGTTTTTCAAGACCTGAAGTCTCAAAGGACGATTGGGAGTGGCCATGAGGCGAATGGGATATACTTGCTGGATGTCTCTGATCAAAGTCTTGGATTACCTAGTGGAGTTACTTTAGAGTCTGTTTTATCAGAGTCAGTTAATAGAGTCATGATATGTCATTTCAGATTTGGTCATTTGTCTTTTTCAACTTTGAGTCATTTGTTTCTAGAAATGTTTTAGGGAATATCCCTATCGAGTCTTCATTGTGAGTCATGTGAACTTGCTAACCATTGTAGACAATTTTTTTCAGTGAGTAATAAAAGATATGTTTCTCCATTCCATATTGCGCACTCTGATGTGTAGGGGCCATATAATTTACTTGCTATGGGAGGCTACAAATATTTCATTCTTTTCATTGATGATTTCTCTCATTACACATGGATTTACCTTCTGATATCCCGGGATGAAGTACCAAATATTATACAAAAGTTTCATGAACTTATTCTTGCCCAGTTTAACACTCGGATCAAAATATTCCGATCTGATAATGCAAAGGAATATTTTGAGAAGAGTCTCTCCTCCTACTTTGATACCTTTGGAGTTATTCATCAGAGCTCTTGTTCCTACACTCCTCAACAAAATAGAGTGGCGGAAAGGAAAAATAGACATGTGGTTGAAGTTGCGAGGAGCCTTCTTTTTGCTTCCCATGTTCTTGTTAAATTTTGGGGTGACACTGTTCTTACAGCTACATACTTGATAAACCGAATGCCTTCTCGGGTTCTAGGATTTAAAACTCCCTTTATCTTGCTTTTTCCAAATGAAGATCTATTTTCTCTTCCTCTCCGAGTGTTTGGGTGCACTTKCTATGTCCATGTTCACAGTCATCAAAGACATAAGTTTGAGCCTAAAGCACACAAGTGTCTTTTTGGGATATGCCTCCACACAGAAAGGGTACTGCTGTTTTGATCCAGTTTGTGGCACTCACTTTGCTTCTAGAGATGTCACATTTGTAGAGTCAATCCCTTTCTTTGGTACTTCTCTTGAGGGGGAGCATTCAGACGAGTTGTTTGCATTGTCACCATCTATTCTTCTTCCAATTCCCATTGAACCTTCCATAGAGTCTACTCTAGTTGAGTCATCTATCCCTACTCCCCCTCCTCCTACTCATCCCCCTTCTTTTCTTTCCCATCCTATTATCCAGAGGTGGTACCAGAGAAAAAGACTCAGAGACATGCAAATTGTTTCCACGCCTTCAGATGTGCCTCTTGCTCCTCCCATCACTACTGAGATAACAGGTCCGCCCTCTTCTACCACATCGGATACCTTCCCTGACCTTGATCTCCCTATTGCCCTTCGCAAAGGCAAACGAAAATGCACAACTCGTTGTATTTCCAAACACCTGTCCTACAGCCTCCTTTCCCCTTCCTACTATTCCTTCCTTGCCTTTGTTTCCACACATGTAACTCCCTAGTATGTCCTAGATGCCTTGTCCAAACCAGAATGGAGAGATGCTATGATGACTGAATTAGATGCTTTGCATAAGAACAATATTTGGGAAATTGTGGATTTGCCTAAGGGAAAGGAACCGGTTGGCTGTAAGTGGGTGTTCACTATTAAGTATCATTTTGATGGTACTGTTGACAGATATAAGGCCCGTTTGGTTGCTAAAGGATATACTCAGATGTATGGTATTGACTACTTAGAAACTTTTGCCCCAATAGCTAAGATGACTTCAGTTCAGATTTTGCTATCTTTAGCTATTGCTTTTGACTGGCCTCTTCATCAGTTTAATGTAAAGAATGTCGTTTTGAATGGGGACCTAAATGAAGAAGTCTATATGTCTTTACCTCCAGGGGTGTATGGGAAGGAGATGCAAGGAAAGGTTTGTAAACTGAAGAAGTCTCTTTATGGCCTTAAGCAGTCTCCCAGAGCCTGGTTTGACAGATTTCAGGTTGCTCTTGTTGCTTTTGGATACGCACGGACTCAGTCGGATCATACTTTGTTTGTTAAGAGGAGAGATTCCTTAGTGACCCTCCTGATTGTCTATRTTGATGATATTGTGGTTACARGAAATGATACTCAGGAAGTTGTTCATCTCAAGAGTTTTCTTAACACTGAGTTTGAAATTAAAGACTTGGGAGAACTCAGATATTTCTTGGGAATTGAAGTTGCCAGATCTAAGGATGGTATCTTCATTTCTCAACGGAAGTATGTTCTTGATCTCCTTGCAGAGACTGGGAAACTGGGGGCTCGACCTACTTCTACTCCTATTGATATAAATCATAAGTTGTCAGCGACTGAAGGTGAACCGTTGCTTGATAAGGGGGTGTTCCAGAGACTGATTGGGAAGTTACTTTACCTTTGCATGACTCGGCCAGATATCTCCTTTGCAGTTAGTGTAATCAGCCAGTTTATGCATTCTCCTAGAGATACACATTTAGCAGCTGCTGAGAGAGTTCTGTGCTATCTAAAAGGGACTCTAGGGAAAGGTATCTTGTTTTCTAAGCATGGACACATGAAGCTGGAAGCATACACTAATGCTGGCCGGGCCGGATGTATTGATGATAGGAGGTCTACTTCAGGTTACTGTGCTATGGTAGCAGGGAACATTGTATCGTAGAGGAGTAAGAAACAGTCTGTAGTGGCATGATCTTCAGCTGAAACGGAATACAGGGCAATGGCACATGGACTCTCTGAACTTCTGTGGTTGAGATCACTTTTAGATGATTGGGTATAGACTGTGCGAAGCCAATGATGTTATATTGTGACAACCAGGCTTTCTATCAACATTACATACAATCCTATTCAACATGACAGAACTAAACACATTGAGGTTGACAGGCATTTATACGAGAGAGAATTGCCTCAGGAGAAGTCTATCTACCATTTGTTGCTTCTAAAGAACAGTTGGCTGAAGTTTTGACAAGAGGTGTTCCTAAAGGAAAGCTGGTTCATTATATAAGCAAGCTGGGCATGATGGATATCTATGCTTAGCTTGAGGGGGAGTGTAGAGAGACTGGGCCGAATGGGCCCTAGCCCATTAGTGTCCTTATTAGTTCTTTCATGTTATGTTTTCTTATTGGGCCTTCTCTTTATGGGCCTTTAGTTCTTTTTATGTTTTTCTAAGTTTAGTGTTGATGTGGACGCCTACTTAGGGGCCTCCTTGTAATTTATGTTTCTTAAGTATGTTTTATAAAAGATAAGAGTAGGGGAAAGAGGAGACATTCGAATTCCTCCTTCCTTTCTCCTTTCTTCTTGCTGTCTCCTTCTTCTTCTCTGATTTCTTTTACTTTATTCTGAAATATTCTACTGATTTTATTAGTTTTGAATCACATCTACTAAAAAAATTAGGGCCCACAGTTAGCATACTCTACTTGTAAATGCAGAGATACCATGCTTGTACATACAAATATGATCTAATAAATAGCCCTATCTTCTTTGCCCCCCCCCCCCACACACACAAAAATGCATCTTAAAATTTTCTTTCCCTTACTCCTAGCAATACCTTTATTTTTAACCTTTTATTGAATAGAATAATCAACTAAGGGAAAATCTATGATGCAGGAAAGATATGGAAGAAGCCCAAGAACTAAATAAGAAAAAGTAGAGAAAATAAATATCATGAGAAGCAATTTACAGATACTATCCAGCATTACATAGTTCCATAAGGAATTTCTTGGACAGCAAAAAGGTGCATGCTGCAAATTGCCAGACGCCCAGTTTAACCATCTTGCTAGTATTTCTCCATTAAAATAAATGACACTCCCTAGGCCCTTAAGACACCAAAAAGTCCTAACCCATGAAGTCATAAAAATAATAAATTTCCAGAAAACCAGGTAGAGTATATTAATTAATTACTTGATCTTGATGAATTACGGCGGCAATATTCCAAGAAATGTTTTATACTGAGATAACTTCCCAACTAATTGAACCGCACAAAAGTAGGAAAAAATGGAAAAAATCAGTAAAAACCAGCATTATATTATGGTAGAAAAATGTTACATAATTATATCACATAACCAGGAATTCAAACAGTTTACATTGTAGGACAAGAGCAGTATGGAGCAATTTTTGGCTACCAGACGACTGGTATTCTTTGTACACAAACATCCTGGAAATATCTGATCCCCATCAAAAATACCTATTTTCCTCGGTCTGTCATGCGCTTATCAAGGCTGATCCCGACCCCAGGTACCCATTTTCTTCAGAGGGGATATAACATGTCATGTTAGAATAGCAAATAGCATGAGACCCTTATTCAGAAGACAAATTCTCCATAATCGGACAAGTCATTGCCATCAGAGAATTCATAATATACATCATCAGACAGGAAGTCAACTTCAGAAAATCCAGATGGGTAGTCCTCATCCACCGTTTCATAACCATGAGCGTTAGGATCAATTTCACAATAATCGAAGTCATTAGGAAGGCTTAAACATCTAATTGCATCTGCGCATCTCTTCTGCAGCTCCCCTCCCAGATTCACATTGAAGCACTGACGCAGGTCAAGAGATTCAAGGTGGGGACAACCATCAAGAATGGCTCGCAGGCCATCATCCGTCAATTGGTTCCCAAGAAGCTGGAGGTTGCGCAATTCGGGCATGCACCCAGCAATAGTAAATGCCTCCTCATCCCACTCCACATCTGAATTCCTGAATCTCCGGCTGTTAAGTTTAAAGGTTTTCAAATGTGGGCAGGAGCAACCAATGACTTCAAGTACTTTGTTTGAAAATGTACAACAGTAGGATAGGTCAAGCTCCTCCAACAAGGGAAGTCCATTCACTACTTCAATCAATCCATCATCTGTTACTCTATGGCATGACATGAGCCGAAGGCATCTCAGTGGACAGGATCTGAAAGAAGGTATGGAGTCAGAATGGTTTTGTTGCACTGAAGGTGAGAGTAACAAGCATGAAGACATTATATTCAAAGTTTGTTGCTGGCATTGACATAGTGGATTCCATGTGACAATACTAGTTATCTATATATGCTTCACTTAGCTGTCTGTTTATCTTGACAAATGCCTCATTAGTCACTCAAATAGACCAAACCCAAGACTTCCCATAGCATGAGGGAGGAGACGAGAAGTGTTTTTTTGACGAGTAACATAACAAATTTTACTAATGAAATAAGCAAATATACAACAGATCAGGCATCCCAGAGGTTGAGATGACCTGATCTCAAAAGAAATATATTATTGGGAACACCCATCTCCCCCAAAGCTTGTTATTTCATTAATACATGCACCAATGACAACTTTTTTTTTCAATTGGCACAGCAATGCCAACTCTTTTAACTGAAAACAGGAACAAAAAACAAAAAAATCTTTGGAAARATCCCTTTTGCTTATTGGCCTGAATAAACTGCAAGTATTTCCAAAAATGTACTCCAAAGGTGCTTTGGTGATGCAGGAGATGAAGAGTCAAAATTGGAATTTTATAAAATTTTATGTATTTCTATATTTTTAGACAGTAGGGGTATTTTTGTTATTTTGCAATTTTCTGTAGGGTCCAATGATAGGGTTTAATTTGTTTAGTTAAAGTTTGTTTATGTTTAAAATTTCAGAGTCATTGCATAAGTAGGATTAGAGTTATCGAGTCTTCTTTGAATTGAAATAGGATATGACAACTTAGTTTGAGTCCTACTAGGATAAAGAGTCTAACAGCTTAACTCCTAGGATTATTATGAGTTTAGACTTGTTGCTGCCTTGGATGGGCCGAGGGCAACAAAGTAAATTCGCTTCCGAGCCGAGGGCTGACTGATGAGTCCAAGGTCTGCTGTGGCCGAGGGCCTGTAGGTCGGTCCTGCGAAGAGAGAGAAGAGATCAAAGGCCCCGGGTGCTAACCCGAGGCGAGGACTCCGATGGTCAAGTTAGTGAGGGTGTGACGAGAGGTGGACAAGGCCTGAGGTTGGGATGCTCAGACGAGGCCACGCAGGAGACAAAGAAGCTCTCAATAATCAAGAGTCTATATGTTTACCTTGGGGGGGGGGGCACCCCCTATTTATACTTGAGACCGCCTAGAGGTAGGTGGACATGGACAGCCAGGATGGTAGTCCGGCCATGAAGGCACGGCCATCCAAGGCCGCCTCATGCAGTCACGCCATTGGTCTCGCATCACACGCCGGCCTCTACTCTGTGTGATGCTCTCATTGGGTCCGTTCTGCGCGCCGCCTTTTGCCACGCACAGGCATGCCATTGGCCCTGGCTATAAGCGCCTACATCAAGAGTATAAATATGTATGGACGTTTTACACAAAGGCAATGAAATATATTGAGTTTTCTTCAGCTTATGCTAGTTATGGTGAGTGATTCCCATGCCCTAGAGTGATTCTAGGCACCCTATGAGTGATTCCAGGTATTTTCTCTCTTCTTTCTCTCCCTATTTTCTCTCTCATTCCTTCAAGAAGCCATTGCAGCCATCAACAGCCATAAAATCCTGATCAAGAAGACCATTCAACATTCTCTTAGGACTAGAACTGAGTTGGTCCTACATCACTTGGATTCCCTGAAAGAAATCTATTGAAATTTAGCTTTGGGTGGATATAGCTCTCCCATAGTCATGGTGAATAACATGCCCACATGTCAATAAGCCAATAAGCAGCCACTATGGTTATCAAATCAATTGATGTTTTTAAACATTGCTTAATCCACAAACACCCTAGCATTCCTTTCTTCCTATACAGATCATATTATAGCAGCTCTAAACCCATCTCCAAATAGGGCTGTACATGGGTCGGTTCGGTTCAGTTTCATTTATTTATGCCAACCAAACCACTATTATCGGTTTGACTATTGAACCAACCGAAAAAGAGATAAAACCTATTGAAATTTTGTTTTACACATCAGTCGGTTTAATTGGTTACCCGAATAAAGGAGAAGGATGTGTGTTTCTTCCAAGAAATTGTTTTTACCGTTTGTAATGATGATGGTACAGTACTGTGGGTCCTACTTTCAATTAAAAAGCTATTTACCAAAAGTTTGTATTCATTATTCAAATTTTAAAATAAGTAATTTATTTAATCGAGACTTGAGAGTTAAAAGAGCATCAATTGACCACTTTTTAATTGTGACTTTGGGATTTTACTTTTTACCTGATAGGAGATGTAAGATGTGTCAGTTGAGGTGACAAAAAGTGGGAATGTGAAGAGGTATCAGACGTGAAAAATAAATCAGAGAATACTATACTAGTCATGGGAAAAGCCAAATTTTTTTGGGATATGCACCACAAATCCCACATTCGGCATCTCATGTTCCTCTTATGAAATATATCAGTCAGTTCTTGGTTTACATAGATATATATCCACAACCGAACCGATTCGTCGGTTTTTAGAATTTATCAAACCAAAACCGACCAGCTCTTTTTTAAAACCGACTATTTTCGGGTCGAGTTGGTTCGGCTTGATCGGTTTGGTCGGTTCATAAAATTATATGAACAGCCCTATCTCCAAATGGGGAAATTACTAATGCTGAAGGTAAGGCTGTTTATGAGGAGAAAATCATGCAATAATATGCCAATTTATTAAGTATTAAAAGAATGCAAATTCCTTTGAACTCATCCCCATTCATAATGTAGTGAAAAACTATTGTTGCCACCAAGTCTAGAATGCTTTACCAAGGTTTTGAGGTATAGGCCCTTATAGGATAGCATTATCTTTCTTAAAATCTATCTCCATATCGTGCACAAAGGAACAATACCCATGACTACCTTTGGCAATTTGTCATAACAAATAACTCACATCATTTACTTACTACAAAAAAAAAAAAACACATCATTACTGAATATGTTTTTCATGGTCAACAATATCATGACAAAAGATTCGTTAGTCATTACCATAAACAACTGAACCACCAACTTACCAACCATAATTGTCAAGGCGACAAGGCCCTTGGAGGCTCGCCTCGCCCAATCACCAAGTAGTTTTGTGCACTATGTTATAAAATACTTTTATATTTTTAATTTTTGACATTATAATTATAAAATAGGCATTATTAAACTAGAATACTCATTTTATGTTTATATGTACTAATTTCTTTTTATTACTTTCTTATTTGTTAGGGTTTAATCAATACAAACATTGCTAACTGTTGTATTGAACCCATGGTTCAAAGTATCGATACACCTTTGTGTATCGGTAGAGGTGTATCAGTACTTATAATGATACTCCCCCTATTTTTTTATTTCTTTGGTTTTCAATTTCATTTTTAAATATATATATATATATATATATATTTTAAAAAATGGGTTCCCGGAAACACCTGTAAACATGTGTATTGGGGCGCCATTTTAAAAAATGGGTTCCCGGAAACACCTGTAAACATGTGTATTGGGGCGCCAAAGATACAAATACAATACACCCAATACGGGGCGTATCGTAGTTTTTTTAAAAGAACATAGTTTTTTATAAAAGAACATAGTTTTTTTTCCTTCCAATCAATTGTGTGATGGTATAAATTTGCCACAAACAAGTGGRTCATACCAAACATTCACAGTTCCACACTAACAAACAAAGGTTGTAATTCCCCATCTAGCCATTCTAGCCTATATTTACTAGACAAAGATTGACAACTAAGGTGGTGTTTGGACAAGCCTTCTGGAAGTATTTTTCCTGCTTTAGGTAGCAAAAAGCTGCTTCAGAGCTGGTAGCATGTGTTTTCCAAAGCAAAGACAATAAAAGCAAAAATACTTGCCCTATGAAAAGCATGAAACAAGAATATAATGCTTTGAGATTCGACCATGCGGCTTAGGGCATTTTTGTTTTTCATAAAACAAGAAAGGAACAAATATTGCTAGAGTTGCAAAATACCACGTCTTTAGAGTTGTTACGTGGCACTTTTAGGTCATGAAAGTGCCTCGTTGATTACTTGCTTAATTTGATAAGCCATTCTCTGAACCAATTATCACAAAAAATATCTCACTTCCATAGGATATTTTATTGCTTTAAATAATGACTCCATAATGAATAGTCTACTGTATGGTCTTCCCTAGAGGGAGATCGATCCATGTGCACTCCTCTAGATGTTGCCTCTAAATACATTGTTTTTTTATAGTAAAACAAAATGTATTAAAAAAAAAAGATTGCAATAAAGGTAAACAGAAGTCGCCAACGAGAAGAAAGAAAACAACCTTTCACCAAGTGATTTAAAAGGCGCGCCTAAGGCATGCCTAGGCACAAAGGCAAGGCGCATTGTAGGGTATGCGCTTACCTAGGTCCTAGGAGCAGCACTTTTGAAAGGGGCATGCCTGGTGTGCCTAGGCATGCGCCTGATGTGCCTTGTGCCTCAGCCCAGGGGTGCGCCTTTTTAAATTTTTACGCTTTTTTTTAACCTAGCAGATGGGCCGGGGCTCCACCCCCAACCCCCAACCACGCCTCTCGAGGCAAGTCCGTGTTGGTCTTAAATTCTTAATTCTTACACAAAAAATAATGATTTTATAATTTTAATTGCCTTTTAAGAAAATATTTTATTAGGATGAAAGAATGAACATTAGCAAATAACCCACTATTTTCTAATGTTGTTCATTCATTCATCCTAATAAAACATCTTCTTAAAAGGCAATTAAAATTATAAAATCATTATTTTTTGTGTGAGAATTAAGAATTTAAGACACTAACATAGACTTGTTTGAGCTTGCCTCGAGAGGCTTAGTACAAAGGCGGCTCGTAGAATTAGGAATGCAATATTTTTTACATCACATTAGCTACTTGAAGTAATGCAATTGAGGAAAAAAGAAGTTGTGGGTTTTACACGCTTGAAAATGTTTTATATGTTTGATTTTATTTTTAAATTTTCATTTGAATATTCTTTACATGTTCTATTTATGTATTTTAATTTTAGATAATAGGTTTTTTAAAAC